TAAATACAAAGTATCAGATCTATTCTGAATACATTGTATTTATTAAGCAGTTACTACCTAAATAGTATTTTTTTGTGTGTACTTAATAAATGTATATTATTAAAAGAAGGACTTCCTGGCATTTATTGAAAGTTGCAGTGTATTGGCAGGAAAATCAGGATCCCTACCCTTGTCCCTCCAAGAGTAGTCGATTCCTTACCTCTGGGGTAGTCTCGATAAAAAAACTATGGACTGGGCTCTATTTTACCCACCAGCCCTGTCACAATGGGGGGGGCCATTCTGGGCCTGAGGAGGGGGAGGAGGTGGCTGCTACGTCACTATGACGAGTGGGAAAGATAAGAGATTACCACGCCATAGGCTGTATTCCCCTCCAGCAAGAATTTCTGTAGTACCCTGTGACTTCATGGCAGTCTAAGAATAACTGGCATACTGAAAGAACCGAACTGAGACAACAAACCAATAAAATACTGTGATAAGCCCCCTAATGATTTTTCTCAACATTTTATTATGAAAATGTTCAAACACACAGCAAAGTTGAAAGTATTTTTACAGTGAACATCTGTTTACCAAGATTCTACCATTAACATTTTACTATGCTTGCTTTATCACTTATATAATAGCCGATCCATCAATCCCTTAATTTTTTATGTATTTTGAATAAATTGCAGATATATCTGTACCCATCTTTCTAAAAATCCCCAGCAACACATATCGTTAACTAAAGTTCAATATTTTTTCTTTTGTCCAAAAATTTCCATATGCTTAAAGCCCACAAATATTAACGGCATGTCCTCTAAGTTTATACAGATGTATACACACATAACCCAAACCAGTATCGAGACAGATTACAGTACTACCGTCACCCCAGAACGTTTCCTCGGGCCCCGCCCCAGCAAGGCCCTTCGCCATCCCTCCCAGAGGCAACCACTGTTTTTTTCCCACCACAGATTTGCCTGAACCTCATATGAATGGAATCATACATTAGGCATCCCCCATGATGATTTTTGAAAGACGAATTCTTAGAAAAAGTGTCTCTGAAACAGTGAGAGTAATAGTGATAAAGACAACATCTGGGATCAGATTATGATTCATTCATTGAGCAGGTATGAGAATCTCTAGTCGGTGGATACAAAGCCACGGTGAGGATCGATGCAGAGCACAGTGGTTTGAAGGACACAGCGTAAACGCCGTGGCGAGCAAGGGCTGAGACAGTCGTCACGGGCACTGGAGACCTGCCCTAGCCTGGGGTCACTGGGGCATCAAGGGGGTTTCAGTTTTTACTTTGGAACTTGTCTCAGGCATCCCATGCTCTGTGTTTCCCACAAGTCTAGAATCTTAAAACTGAAAACGATCTGTCATTAAATAAGGGCAGTTGCACAGTAGTGAGCGGGTGTAAGACAAATTTGCTAAACAAGGAGGAAACTATAAAAGGCACAAATTGAAATGACTAAGGATTCTGTTTTTCTCTAGTTTAAGCTTATAGGAACTCAAATATAATTAGTATTGCCCCAGACACAAAAACAACATGCTTTCCTGTTCCTGGGCCCTAAGGAGCAGAAGCTTTGGAGAGCTCCGACGGCAGCTGCAGGTTTTCCTCCTCCGGGCCCTCACCGCGGCTCTCTCAAGGCCCATCGCGCCTATTCCATCTCCAAGTTCAGGCCCTCGCCGAACTTCCTTACTCTTTACCTTCATATTTTACAAAGTACAGATGAAAAACACTTGGTTCCATACATACACACTTTTTCCTACTATTATGACCTTGAAACTGTTTCCCAGTGGGGAGTGAGGAGTGGGGAGCCCAAAACGCCTGAAAATTTTTTTAAATCATTCTTTTCCCAGAAAATTAGGAGAGGGGTTATGGAAAGTTCTGAAGCTTCCTTTTACCCAAGGGAAAGGAGAAAGCCCTATGCCAGGAGCCACCTATTACTATATATATATGATGACCCTTGAAAGAGAAATTAGTTCCTTTTTCCTAGTATCATCTGAAACAAAAAGATAGTATCTCATTGTAACTAAATGCATTCCCCTTTTGTGGTGTACTCTACCAGGAGCAAGTAACTGCTGACTAATCAGGACTGGTTTTATTTTTGTTGATTAAATGTAGAGGAGGCGGTTTGCTTGAAACAATTAAACAAGTTACCACCTTCATGGCACTTCTCCAGTAACAAAGTAGCAGTCAATGACACTAATAATTTTAAGAAACTTTCTTCTTGCCCAACTTCATTCAGCTTAGTTCCACAATTCACAAGCAGTGCAAGGAGTAAGAAAAATGGGGTGCCTGTACATACGTAACCCTAACTCACGCACAAACTTTGTCTCAAATTGGCTAGACATTTCTCAGAGTAAAGGACAGCTGACAGCGTTAAAGAAGAAAATCAAAAACACTCATCATTTAGCTCCTATGTCATGGACATCATGTGTGTGCTCCCCCAAAACTTAGGTTGAAGCCCTTACACCCCCCAATGTGATGGTATTTAGAAGTGGGGCCTTTGGGAGGTACTTAGGCGTAGATGGAAGTCCTGAGGTCTTCTCTCTGCCACGAGAGGACACAGGGAGAAGTCTGTGTATCAAGAAGAGGCCTCTCACCAGGAACCAAACCTGCCAGCACCTGGATCTTGGACTTCCCAGCCTTCGGAACAGAAATGGCTGTTGTTTCAGCCATCCACTCACTGGTATTTTGTTATGGCAGCCTGAGCACTGTAAAAATTCTTTCCTTGCCCTCCATGACCCATCAAGGAATGGTCGGACAGGATATTCCAGAATGCTATAATCCTGAATATCCACGGTCCCTCCACTCTCTCAATTCCTAAAGAAATATTTATCAGCTGTCTATCAGGTGTCAGCCACCGTGCCGGGCACTTGAAACGCTGGAAAGCAGAGCGGAATCCCTGCCTTATGGAGCTGGCATTCGAAAGGGGCAAGAGGCATCAAATAATCACAACGTGGCTGAGAGAGAGACGGGGTAGCCTAGGAACATTTGAGGGGAACCTGGCTTAGTCCTGCAAGTGAGCCGTCTTCTCTGAAGAAGTGACAGTTGACCTCAGGCTCAAGCCCTTAGGAGTTGCTGGTGAACCAGGGAAGGGCGCTGTGCTCAGGGCAGGGGTGCTCTGCGAGGGTAAAGGCCAGGGGCTCAGAGTGCAGAAGTCCTTGTGCTGAGGGCAGTGACTCGGGCAGGGCAGTTTCAGCTGGAGACGAGGGTAAAGGCAGCAGGGCCTGGATCAGTTCATCTAAAAAATCAGCAATATGAGGAATAGATTGAAGAGAGATGAGAATTTAGATAAATACTGTTCTCAATTTCTGCTTCAAAATCAGATATACTCATCTGGGGTGGGGGGAAGTGTGAGTTGTAAATGATTAAGTGGGAACTGCCCGTTGGGAGGCTGGAGCGCTCTGCAGCTGTGAGCTCCTCTAGGCC